CCTTGTGTTGAGGGCTGAAGGTGAAGGACTTGGGATTCAGATTCGATTGGGGTTTAGGGCTTACAGTGGGCTTACCCGAACCCTAATTGGAAAACCTGCCCTTCAGGGCTCCTCAATATGATTTCGTGGTTTCAGTCCTGAAAAGGGTAGCTTCTTTGGGGTCGAGGTAGTGATGCCTGTTATAAGCAAGGGCCGCGTGATGTGGGGTGAGGTTCTGACCCATCCTGGCTTTTGGTCGACAGTTTCATCTGGGCAATTCTTTCAATTTAGGTCCCTTGTAGCATCCTCTTTTTATGAGTGCCGTACTATGTTGGGGATCCTACTTCAGAGACCTACCCATCTGCAGGTTCCCCTAAACCCGAAACCCTAAACCCTAAGACCTAAACCCTAAATCCTAAACCCTAAACCCTCAAACCCTCAAACCCTAAATCCCTAAACCCTATAAGCCCTAAACCCTAAACCCTAAGACCTAAACCCTAAATCCTAAACCGTAGGACCCAACCCCAGGGTTGAGAGCAGCCAGGCGGCGCAGGATGCCTTCTCCAAGGGCGCGTCAGAGGACCTCCGAGGGGAGGATCAGCAGCAGGGCTTGGGGTAGAGTTTATAGGGTCTGGAGTTTAGGGTTTAGGTTTTAGGGCGGGTTCCAGAAGGGTGTTGAGAGGCATTCTGCAAGTGGGGGGTTAGGGTGGTCGATAAGGGTTTGACTTCGTGGCACTTCTAGATAAGGGTTATATGGGTAGTTAAGGTCCCGGCTTAGGTCCCAAAAAGGCACGGCACTCGTGCGAGAAGGACGCCAAAATAGGGAACCTAATTTGAAGAACTACTCATATGTAGAGGAGCTTCTTCGGGCTAGTCTTGCTGGCGCGAAAGAACCCCAAAAAAAAACATGAACCCCTAAGCCCTGACACCCTTCAGCCCTGAACCTTAAACCCTCAAGCCGTAAGCCCTAAACCATAAACCTTAATTAAGCCCCTAAACCCTTAAGCACAAAACTTAAACCCTTTAAATTCTTAACCCCGAGACTTTAAGCTCTTAAGCATGAACCCCTAAACCGCAGCACCCTAAACCCTGAAATCCTAAACCCTAAACCCCTAAACGCGCCTGAGGAGTTCCTTGAAGGAAACTTTGCCCTGCCGCTGCTCCCGGAGGCCGAGACAACTTCTGCAAAGTCGCCTTCCGAAAGCTTTCTTTTGACTATCGGTTTGAGGTTTTGGGTGTGGGGTTTACGGTTTAAGGTTTAGGGTATGGAGATTAGGGTTTAGGGCGCAGGGTTTGGGTTCAGGGGGAGGGGGTCTGTACACATGTTTTGTTCATTCTCGGTCGGTTTTTGTGCTTCACAGGGGGTTTTAGAGGTTAAGCGAAGATCTTCAGTTTAAGGGCTTCGGTTCGCGGTTTAGCGGATGAGGGTTTAGGGTCTGTTAGCTAGGATGATACAGCACAAGAGCTTTTAAAGGAGTTATTTGGTTTTTTGTTCATTGGTCTCAGGGGTTTGGGGCTTGGAAGCTTACGCCGTTTGCAATAGAGGTTATGATACGATTACTCCAGGCGTTTAGGGGCTTAGGTTCTATTTCGCACGTAATTGGCTTCTACAGCTAACCTAGCATCAGGGCTTAGGGTCTATGTACCTTGAGCTTGAGTGGTTTGTGGTATGTATACACTTCGGGGATGTACAACGTTTAGGGCTTGGTTTTAAAGCTTTTGGGGCTCATAGGCCTTTAGATAAGGGCTCCATAAAGATTTCGAAAATGACATGCCGCTAGAAGCAGCTTTGAAGAGATCCATGTAGCCATTTGATAACGTTGTTTCAGTACAACAAAACCTATGTAGCTGTTTGAAACCTCTCAGTACACACCACCGTTTTAGACCCTTTTGTGTGGTCTACTGCGTGCGGTGTCACCAAACGGCCCCTGCACGGAGATTCAACGTACTTGTGGGAATGCTTGCCAATAATATCGCTCGTATAGTCACTTTCGAATTATGGTAGGAGCCATAATTGCTCGCCTTTGGCAAGATAGAACCGCCGCCGACGGCTTTGAAGGGGACGAGTGGATCGGGGATGGCGATGACATCGCTTGACGGGTTGTTGATACAGATTAGGGCTTAGGCTTAGTAGGGATACCAATCGAAACGAGCTTCGAGCCCTGTTTAGGGTTTAGGGATAACCAACCCAAGCCCGAATCCCAGAAAAAGACTTTGCACAACCCCAAACCCGAAATCCCAAACCCGAATTCGCCTGGCTGATGGCCAGGAAACTGCCGCAGCGAGGACGGCGCTGCGTGTGCTGAGAACGGGCCTCGCTGCCTGCCCAGTGGGGAGGCGGAGATGTTGTTGCTTAAGGGTCCAAGTAATTCTTGTTTATGGCTCTTGATACTCCAGACCCTCTAATACCCTAAACCCTATACCCTAAACCCCAAAACACCCCAAAAAGAGTTACTTGGACCCTTATGGTTTATGCTTGAGAGAGGCTCGGGAGTTCGGGAGTTCATTCTGTATGTCTTGGATGAAGGGCTTCGTATTGTGCCTTGAATCTTCCCGAGAGATATTTAGACAGTCTTTATACTGGGGCTTCGGAGCCCACGGCCTCGCGAAAGACAAGAAATTCTCCTGAAATAACCATCTATAGGGAATGAATCTCTTTGTAGTCACATAACATGCCACAACAGACTACGAAACACCTACAAACTAGCACATTACACCACAGCATACCACAATATTGTATCGTAAACCACAACACACTACAATATACGAGAATAATCTAAGGGAACATACTACCCATAGGCCCCTAAGTAGTTCCTTTTTCATGGTTTATATTTAGAATCCTATAAGGTAATCCCCAAAAGGAAGTACTTAGGGGCCTATGGGTGGAAGCCATGTGTGTGATCTGGGAAATCACGGGCCTGATCTCTGCCAGCCGGCCGCAAGGGTCGCGGCAGCCGGACGACGACACCGTTGCCTGGCTGAAGAAGTTGAGGATTTAGACTTATAGAATGTGTGGTTTAGGGTTTAAGGTCCGTAGTTAAAGCAAAAGTGGACTTCGAGTTTCAGGTGAGGGGGTTTAGTCATTTGGGAAAGGGGTTGCTTCCCGGTGCCGTAGGGTTACAAGGTGGTTCAGCGGCCGGATGTCCAGCCGGAGTTCAGGGATCTTTGGGGTTGCCTTGGGGGGATGTGCTTTGCTTTCAGCAACCACTTCCATTAGGGCTTAGGGGTCTCGGGCTTAAGGCTTCGAGGAGATCTGAGGAGAAAGAGGGGGAGAGAGAGAGGCAGACAGACTCTTGCTACCTAGCGCCAAGAACCAGGGCTTGGGTGTGCGGAGATGTCGACAGGCCAGATAGGCGACACTCTAGCATCAACCGATGGCATCACACGGACCGCCACACCACGAGCTTCCCGAAAGTGCAGTCCCTAAGTCCAGAGGGAACATCCGTAAAGCCTAAACTGGCCCTAAACCCTATAAGTCCTAAAGCCCAATGTGGACCAATCCTAAAAAACAAACCCTAAATCCAAAAACTATATGCCCTACCCTTTACCCTTGAAAGCCAAGAAACCGGAAAGCAATGCATTCTCTCTCGCTCTCTCTCATTCTATATATATATATACACATATATATATATATATAATTCTTTCGATATACAAACTATATACATATAAAACATGTGTGTATATATATATATATACACTCTATCTATTTATCTATCTATCTATCTATCTATTTATCTGCGTATATATATATACACACAACTCCACCTCCCAGAAAGTTTGTGCCACAAAGCGCTCGCAGCGGTGTCCAAGGCAGTGGGTCCGCCATGGCCGTGGTCAGAGCGCACGGAAGCCATTTAGGATCTCGAGTTTGGGAGAGCGTAGGGTCTAGTTCAAGGGCTCTTGGATTCAGGGCTTTGAGCGGCTTTTGAGAAGGCTTTTGGGAAGCACTTCCCATGTAGCATGCAGCCCAAAAAGCGACCTGGAAGCCTGGAAAGCTGGATGAGTACCGCTCCTTATCCTCGGGCTCTGCGGCCTGCAGCATCTTGTTGAAACCAGTGTCGCACAGAACCCAATACCCCTTAATTAGGGGACATACCTTAAATTATAGGGGCCTTAGTATTGTGATTTAAGGTGCATATTCCTTAATTAAGGGATATTGGGTTCTTTGGGGTGTAGGGGCTGGCCGAAGTCGCGCCCGCATCCTCAACCGTATTGCTAACTCCGGAATTACAGTTCTAGAGTTCTGAGCCTCATTACCATGGAACCCCCAGGTCCAGTGCAGCTTGATGGGTTTAGGGTTCTGGGTTACTTGGTTTAGGTTTTAGGGCTTAGGGTTTAGAGTATGGGGCTTAAGGTTTAGGGCTTAGGGCTATTGCTTGGACGAGTCGATTGCGCAAGCCAGGGCATGTCCATGCAACCACTGTAGCATTGAGCCCGACTGCATTAATAAAGGGCACCCATTGACTAAAACAGGTTTCGGGGTATATTCTACTATGTAGAATCATAATATCAGCATATCCCACTTAACATTACTAGTTATTCCAACCCCAATGTTGCAGTGAGCAGTTAAGTCCACAGTTGAAGAAAGCAGGCTATCGGGAAAGCTGCAGAATGCAAAATGGGAATGTGAAGCCAACAATCAGCTGCTTTGTTTGGGGTTGGGACGATGTATGCCTACTCAACGTGGAAATAGTTGCCTGGCGTTGTAGGGCCGTTCATGCGAAACCCCACAGCAGAACGTGCAGAGATCGAGCTTGCACCGACCGGCGCAACAAGAAAAGAGTAACGGGTCGCCAATTTGCACAGAGCCTGTGAAGGCCATGGTGATTGACTCGTTTGGGAACTCCGTGCAACTGCAACTGTCACGATGTACACCTGGCAGTACTGCTGCGCTACAGTTAGTATCGAGGTTGGTCTTGTGATATTGTGGCCACCGTCGTCTGCAATCTTTCGCAGGCCCGAGATCACAGCCGCGTTCCCAGAGCCAGCCATTTTTCTTTCACTCCCTGCTGCCTGCGAACTCAGAGCCTCAGCCGGCCGGGAGGGGTAGAAAGGGGCCCTTAACCCTCCAAGATTTGTAGGGTTCACTCCTGTAGTGCCCGGGTCTCGGGTAACCACCGAAACCATGAACCCTGGAGTCCTACGGAAAGCAGCTGCAAACTCGGCCGAAGTCGGGCCCTGTCCGAGGGAGAGGAAGGTGAACAAGCCGTTTCGGGCCGTTGCTTAACATGTGTTCGGCCCTTCTTGGGATCAAAAGGGGACCGACAGTTGTGGATGGGTAAAAAAGCATATGGATTTCCCAATTTCGGATCAATTCGGGATGTAGCTATTTATCAGTCCATCGTCATGTCAAAACCCGTTTATCTTGAGGGCGATGACGCATATCGTTTCCCGTACCACTTACGCCTGAGATCATATGGGGGTTGTTGGGCGCACCTCGGGGACTGGGGCTTGTCGAAAGATGACATACAATGATGCGCCTACGGATTTAGGCTATTAGGGTTTATGGCCAATGCAAACACGTCCCAATCTCGGAAGGGGCAGACAGGTTGTGATTGATCTTGTACACACACTTACATACTGCATACATGAGAAAAACATATGTATATGCCTATACATATGTTATGTGCAGTACATACATACACATACATACATACATACATACATACATACATATACATACATACGTACGTACATACGTACGTACATACATACATGAATACGTACGTACATACGTACATACATACATGTATGTCTAAATATTTCTACATGTTTATACATAGAGTCATGCATAAATCGCAGGGCTCAGGGCAAGACTCCCACCGGAGCTTTCTGAGCTGTATGCCCCCATTAATAATGTGGTAGCTACTACTCACCCTAAACCTTAAACCCTAAACCCTCTCGAAGCAACTGTTTGACTGCAAGACAAGCAGCTCCTTGGAGTCGGAGCGACCTCGAGGCTACCCCAGCCCCTATACCGCCAATTCCCAAACCCCAAACTAAGCCATGCAAAACCCTGAGCTCTAAAGCCCCAACCCTGGTTTAGGGCTTTGGGGCTTAGGACTGACCAGAGTTTATACGCCCTGAGGGTTTTTCAATTACAATACGCTTTTTCTTCTAAGGCTTGAACACGGGGGAGCTCATAAGGCTTCATAAAGCTGGATAAGGCTTTTGTCAACTTCAGGGTTTACAGTTTAGCGTTTTGGGTTTAGGAACCAGGGTTTAGGGTTTGCAGGGTTTGGGGTCTGGGGTTTAGGGCAAGTTCGCCGGGGCTTTGCACATGTTCGCTACAGGAGTTTCTGCGTTGCTAAGCGGCCGTTTGGGGCTTGAGGATAAGGGGGGTGCGCGCGATACTTTTCCTGGGTTCTTGTTGAGGGACTTACTTTGAGTTACCCTAAGGGTCCATGTACCCAAATAGTACAAACATTGGCCCTAAAGTACCTATATAGGGACTACATTAAGGCCAGAGTATATACCATTTGGGTACATGGACCCTTAGGGTGAGCAAGATGGGGATCTCTGGCAAAAAGATGCGTCCTTCTTAACTTACTCTGGTAACTTAGATTAAGCTCCTTAAGTAGCAAGAACCCAGTTTCGGGGAAGGCGAGTATTCGTGCCCAAAACAGGGACATCCTACTTCTGACTCGACTTGCCAAGCCTCCTGGGGCTTCAATTCAAGCAGCTTGGGCCCTGCCGTGACGTTTTTGTAGGCCTAGCATGGAATGCACAGGACACCACCAAAAAAGTAGGCTTTGGTAGATGAAGGTACGTCTACAAACCTTGAGAAAGACTGGCTAAGAGAGTGCTCCTGAAGCCACCCTGAACCCTGCTCCCTCTTGGCCCGGGTTGCCCTTCATGGGAGTGGCACAAAATTGCGGCCCGGCTGCTGTATCCCAGGTCGTTCACATCTTCCCAGGTCCAACCTTTTCGCACTCCCTGCGCGAGCACACCCTAAACCTAAAGCCGCCGGTGGGATGCAACAATTCGTCTCTGTATGGCTTACAGGTTGGTATTTATGAGTCAACTACCAGCTAACAGCAGCAACCATCACTTGTTGGCAAGTTCCACCTAAGTTCTGCAAGAGGGGGTCTAAAGGTTCCGGCCCTGAACCCCAAACCCGATACCTGAACCCGAAACCCCAAACCTTAGACCCTAAGCCCTCAAGGGTCCTAAATGCTAAAGCCTGGTATCAAAAAAAGATTCAACAGCATTCAACTTCCGTCCGGACGGGGCTGCTGACATGCAGATGCTGCAAAGACAAGCTTGCAAACCCCCTCAGAAGCACAGAAGGTTTGGAGTCTTGGGTTCTTACTACTTAAGTACCCTTCTTGCAGATGATGAGTATCTTTCACGTGGATTGTGAAAGGTTTAGAAGTTTAGTCTAGGGTCCTGAAGTAGTCTTCTTGTGGCTTTTGCTAACATAAAAGCCTAAGAATGAAACCTCCCCAGCCACAAACCGCAAACCGTACGAGTTTCTACCACCCAGTCCAGCCTCCCGATACCACTGCGTGGCCGTACTTTTCACTCCCCGTAGCCTGGTCCGGGTGTCGCCACGAGGGCGTCTACGGGGCCTAGCTGTTTGGGGTTTAGGGTTTACCGACCATGTCGGGGGCCAGGGTCTAGGGTTTAGGGTTAGGGTTTTGGGTTTAGGGTTAGGGTTTAGGGTTTAGGGTTCTACCTAACCAAGAAGGGTCGTCACCAGGTATTTTTGAGACTGCGGGGGGTTCATGTCAGGCTTTGAGCTGCAAGGATTTTTGACTTCGGTTTGGGTACCGGGTACCTGGCTTCTCCCGCATACACGACGTCCTGTGCAGGGTAGAGTTCTTGATCGAGTTTCAACCCTCCTTCAGTTGCAGGAATACTCATCAGATCATGGGGGTACCTAGCCTCCAACCCACAGTAACAGTAACATCATCCCTTAGGGTTCCGCTATCTTGTATGTATGTATATATATGTATGTATGTATGTATGTATGTATGTATGTATGTATGTATGCCTGTATGTATGTGTATATATATATATATATACACACACTGACTGTAGTCTCCGGGAGGGGCTCCCCTACAGAACCTCCAGAGAGCCCGATGCCTTTGATTGATAAATGAGGATCCCCCGCCCTATTCTAAGGCATGCCCATATGTCCGGAGTGTGGTCTACGGAACGGTAAGGCAAGTTAGAGTTCTAAATGCCAGAGGCTGGATCTCTACTTCCTCAACGCAGTGCACAGTAGTACTCGGTAGCTGCTCCTGTTCAGTCTTACAAGCGACGAAACTGAAATATGTTGAATATCTGCAAGGCAACCATATCGAGTCACCATGGGGAGCAGATTAGGGCCCTGTTGTTTCACGACTTCGTACATCGGTGAGACATGGAGCTGCACCTACGATATCTTCATGTAAGGTACATCTAACCGTGTCTAACCTACCTCAGAGCTGCTTGACAAAGTTTCACGAACCTTTGGCGCGAACCCCCATCCACAAGTCTGCCGTCATCGTGAGCCCGAGCAGAATCTCAACCCGAAAGTTCTACCGACGAGTAGACCACAAACCTGGGCAAAAGACCGATAACACAAACAACACAAACCCGCAAATTTCGTCACCTTGTTCATCTTGTGGCAACGCAACTCTAGTTCAACAAGCCCCAAAACCCCAGGTCCCGAAATATCCTAGGCAGCCAAGCGGCACAGGACATGCGGCGTGCATGCTCATGAATGAAGGGTCGGACTTGTACACAAAGAACCTCTGTGGAGACTTTCAGTGCTTGGGGAAATCAGGGCTGCTGCTGTTCAGCTTTAGCGCTCTAGGACATTTTAGAGGACTTTGGCAGTTAAGAACAGACAAATGCACCAGCAAGACGTCTCTAACACGAGGTCAAAATCAGGCGAAACGAAACGCAAGACTCACGTCGTTTACCCTAAACCCTAATGTAGAACTTCGCTCAGAATGCCCTTGATAATTTGCAGAACTGGATCGCCCCACTCTCTCTTTCTCAGTCAGGCTTTGAAGTCGGAAAAGCGGAACCGTCTCAGATTCCCTAATCTTAACAACGAAACCCTTAACCTTACGCACTTTAAACCAAAAACCCCACATGAAACCCTCAACCCTAAGCCGTAAACACTAAACCTTCGAGCCTTAGAATTAAGTCCTAAATCCTAAACCCTAAACTAAACCTAAAACCCTAAACCCTGGAACCCTGAAGCCTGGTCTCAGACTATCAGATCCCCGCTCTGCCATCTTCTGCCTCCGTTTGAGACCTGCAGAAACGGTCTGAAGGAATTCGGGTCCCAGGGTCGGGGCCTGATAACTTAATATAGCATAACTAGAGTCTAATAGACTGTAGTAGGATACGAATTAGTATCATTTACTTTACCATATCACAGTAATATGTGATATAATGTAGCATAACTGACTATTGTTTGCTTGTTCAGTGTTGCCATCTGCTATAGTAGGACGGCCTGACTGTGGTTGCTCTCGGCATAGGAACCCCACGTGGGCCAAAGAGACAAGAGGATGCTCTCGGGGTTTAGGGTTTTATGCTGGGTGCTTGGGAAAGGATGCCGAGCTGCAGGAAGTCTCCACGGCGCGGCGTAAACTTCGTCGCATCTTTGGTGAAGATGGTGCTCCCTCCTAGACCAGAGCGTCCCACTACCCAAATAGTAGGTGTTAGTATTTAGGTCCCACATACTATACTCTTAATTCTTTTTGCTACCTGAATCCTCAGTCGCTACTTGGGTACTTGGACCCCCTGGGATGATCATCGGCGAATAGCTCCAGAGTGCGGAGCCCTGCGGTTCGCGGCTTAGGTACGTAGGTGTGTCTTTGTACATAGTAATATAGGGCTCCTTTATGTATCCGAATTACCTCAGAATAATGAAGATGAACGGTTGTAGAAACCTTTACGACGGCAAAAACAGACCCACAAGGTAAAACCCCAACCAGATACACCCTAAATATTTCAAAACATACATAAAAGAGGCCATAGGCCCCAAAAGGATCCCGATGCAATAGGGAACCCTAAGGAATACTCTTCGTAATCATTGCCGGGCTCTGGTCTGCGTCACTCCATCTGGAAGGCTTTGGGTTTGATATGTGGGCCTTAACAATTTCAATAGAATTTTGAGATGCATGCTAATATGAGTATAAAAAACACGATCGCTGAAATCTACAACTTTCGCTTCAACCAGCAACTTTCACAAAATCTTCAACTCGAAACCCTAGCCGCCACAGGTCACCCATAAAACTCCGCAACCACCTCCCCAAACCCAATCTCCGAATAAAGTTTGGAAACCCAGGACCTGCACGGTAACCCCGAGACTGTGATACAGCCGGAAACACCCACATTACCCTCTCCTAAGTCCGCCCAGAGGGCAGCAAATTGAAGCTTACCCAAAAAGCCAAAGAAGATGGAACACTTACAGTTGGAACTCAGCTTCGGGCCCTGATCCGCCACATTGCAGTAAAGCCTTGCAGATGTAGGAGCAGTTACTGATCAGGACCCCTGCCCGCAGCAACTTAGGGCGGGTTCTCTGGATGAGGGTGCCTCTGCGGGTCTTGATACAAAAGCACCGCAGGTAACCTACCTTTGAGTGCTACGCTGATGCTTGTACATATCGACCGAAGGTTCATGCATGTAAGCATGCATGCATGTATGCCCGCATTCATGTAAGAAGTAAGCATACATGGCATGGCTGTTCGCATGTATGACTGTATGCATGTACGTATGTATGTATGCATGCATGTATGCATGTATGTATGCATGCATGCATGCATGTATGTGTGTATACATGCACATGGTTAGCCATGTGAATATACGCAATGTGTGCATGTATGTGTATGTGTATATACTGCCTGTGTATTGACGAACATACGTTTGAATATAAACACATCGGGCTCATTATCTACGTCCCAGCAGGTCCTTCAAACTCACACATGAATACGTATGAATATAAATTCAGGCGCCAATCAACCACGTGTACATGCACGCATACATGTGTCTCATACCTCTCGACCTATCTGCCTTCAGGGTGGATGCATGCAGAGCACATACGGCTACACCTACACATAGGATCGACCTGTCAAACATATTCAAAGATACATACCTATAGAATTATCAAATATTATCAAAATACTGCTGGGCTGAGGTCATGGCCGCTTACTTATGCAGAACTCTGCATGCCCTTTAGTCGGTCCATCCGTTTTTCGCCAAGATTCTTACAGCCTGCGTTCTAAAGAACCTGCAGCAGCACTCTCAAGATCAAAACCCATTCCTTGTCAGGAACAAACATCTGGGCCGACGTTGACACAGTCCCTACCGGACGGTGAACCCTCCCTGAACCCTAAACAAACTGCCAAACCCTAAAGCCGAAACTGCCCAGACCCTAAAGCCTAAACCGCCAAACCAACCAAGGGACAAAGATGAGGCCACCCGCATGCCCAGCTGCACCTCCTGCTTGGTCTAGTGTTTCTAGGTTGAGGGCTTAAGGTTTCTCTTGGGCCTTCACCCTAAACACTACAAAATGTGAATCCTGGGCTGAACCCTAAACCCTAAGCCCTAAACCCTAAACCCCAAGCCCAACCCTAAGCCCTAAGCCGTAAACCCTAAACCTTAAGCCCTAAGCCGTAAACCCTAAACCCTAAGCCCGAAGCCCTAAACCCTAAACCCGAAGCCCTAAGGCCTAAACCCTAAACCCTAAGCCCTAAAACCTGACCTTCCCAGCGCTACGGGCGGTCGGGGCCGGGTTTTTCCTGTTAGAAAACGAAGCCTCGTGAGCTGAACCCCTATAGAGTTTAGGATTTAGGGTTCAGAGTCTAGGGTTGACTTAGTTCTTGTGGGGCTTTGGGTACCTTAGCTCTGGACTGTAACACCCCTGTTTCGTCAACCATCCATACGGTGAGGACACTAAGACTGTGATAAGGATGAAAATAATAGCCAGCGAAGGGTGCTAACACACAGGCCTGGGGCAGAGAAAACACACCTTGGTCAAGCAGCAGAAGTCGTTGTTGAGGTTTTAGGTTAAGTATGCAGGATGGAATGATTCAGTCGAGTCGTTGCCAGGACCAATGTTTAGTCCCTCAGCGACAAAAGGCTAGCAACATAAGAAAAAACGCAAGACACAAGACACAGCAACACTGCTGTGCCAATCCGGCAGAACATTCCCTGATGCCTGAGAATTGATGGAGGGTGCTTTCGGAGCCACCTGTACCTTGGCTTGACGACGTCTCGCTGCCGGCGTGTATGCCAACAGAAATTAAACATTGTGGGAAGCCCTTGACCGCGAATTCTGAGCCACAAATCCCTTTCAACCCTAAACCCTTAGACCCTAGCGCCCTGACACCGTGAAGCCCAAATCGTCCTCGTAGCCACAGCCGCCATCACAATGTGGTCGGTATTCCTTACCACAGCCAGGATTGGGCAGATGAAAGGTCGAAGGACATAGAATGAAACATAAGAAGGTTAGAACCTAATTCGTGGCAATTAAAGAAGATATGTTAGATATGATGTTGTATATGTAGTGCATTACGAAAAATCAACATGTCATATAAAATAAGATCACATAGTATTCTGTTGTCAAATATCATACCACGTCATGTTAAGTGACAATCTAAACGACGCAACCTAAAACATGGATAATATATTAATCTACTACATAATATGTACTAATCTACTAAAACTGTAGTATAATGCAGTAAAACATAGTATAACAAGCTATATTTAAAACATATTTGGATAATATAATACAGTGTAATTAATATACAATGAAGTAGTGTAATAAGATATAACATAAGGTATAATATGCTGCAATATGATATGACGTCTTATCATATAAAATATGGATATATGCATACACAAGTAATGTATGTATGTGTGTATGTGTGCAGTTATGTATGTATGTATGTATGTATGTATGTATGTATGTCTGTATGTATGTATGTATCTATGTATCTATGTATCTATGTATCGATGTAGCGATGTATCTATGTATGTATGTATGTATGTACGTATGTATGTATGTATGTATGTATGTATGTATTTATGTGTATTTATGTATGTATGTATGTATGTATGTATGTATGTATAGAGATTTATATTTACATTTACACTACATATATACACTATATGCACAAACACATGTGTGTATGTGCGTGTGTATGTGTATGGGTTGCAACATGTATGATACATGAGAGGGCTGCATCCATGCTGCCCGGTACTGAGAGCTGGGTTTGCAGCACGGCGTTAAGTCTTAGGGGTTCAGGGGCCACGTTTTAGGGGTTTGCAGGGTTTAGGGTCTCGTGGGGTCTATGAGTCGATAGTTTCTAGCCACCAGACACGACCTGAGACGCGCAGTCCTCGAGCCTTGGACCCAACAAAACCATAAGACGGTGAGAAGAGTAAATGGATGTGAATGGCGGGACACTCTTCGGTTGGCTTCTTGCATTACACTTCTATCACTTCAGCTCGCTAAAGTGCCTCGGGTCGGTCTACATCCAGCAGGGTCGTGGGACTTGGAAGGCCTTCAAGGTACTGTGTGGCATACCATGTCCAATGATGATAGTATTAGGTTGGTTCAGCCGGTTCAACTTTAAACAAGAGCTTATTCATGCTTGGATGCTTTACTTCCGGACCTGGGTGGAACGGTGTGGAACTAAGGAAGCGCTCTCGATGCGGCACACAGCTCGAAACTCCCGCTACAAGGCGGGCTGGTGTTGAGGGGTGAAAGATCCGATGGACCCCAAATATGCGTAACATGTTTAGCAACTTATTTAGCAACCCTGCCTGGCTTACTGAACTCTGAAGCAAACACTGAAGTAAGGGAAAACGCAGCAAAGCTGACAGGCCCAAACCCAGGCCGGAAACCTAAACCCGCACAGCCCAGCTCCGAAACGGAATTCCACAACACCAATCCAAACCCCAAAACCCCTGAAGCGAAATGTTCTTCGTCTTTCTGTAAGTTAAGACAAGGCTCGTAACCGGGAATGTAATGGAGCCAGTTGATGGGCTCCTGTCCCGCAGGCCTTGCAGAAGTCCGACTGCTAGTGTGCATGAGACGCAAACGCCAACCAAACCCCGGAAGCCTAAGGAAAGCCAGAGCAGAGCCCAACCCAAACGCCCCAAGGCCCCTAAAGCTCTACAACGACATAACCTTCGGCACAGCATGCAAGCCCGCCCACTATAATGCCACCAAACCATGCTGCCGTGATACCTGCATGTGTGTCGAACGCTGAACCTTAACAACAGCTGCAACTCTACTGCCCGTACAGTGACAGGATGATGGGACTTAAAAAAAGACGTTGTAAGTCAATATAGAAAACCTCTGATACTATGCAGTTACGCTGCTGAGCAAGTCTCTTAGAGCGACTTCCAACATCGGCATGCGAAACCTTGCAAGCACGCCGTGCAGACTAGGAATGCGCACCACAAGTCGTAGCCAGCAGCGCCGCGTGCTGCCTGAAGGAGGCGATCATGGTTTGAACGAGTGTTTAAACGGAGAGCAAGGCCACTTAGCCAGGACACTGTCGAGGCAATCACACTTGTGAGAGTGGCAGTGTTTCACTAAAGTCGACCCGCAGTGCATGTCCACGTGAATCCGTCTGGGTTTCGTTATCGGGGATTCACAGACAGTGACCGCAGCTGCCACGCTGACCTCCAGCGGAAAGGGGTTCATAACATAGAACCAAATCCCACTGATGTCCAATCGTTTGTAATGGTTTAAGGATGTTTGGGGCCTTGCACAACCCAATCTGAAAACAACAACATACACACTGCAGCTTCCCCTTCACAAGTGACTGTACATGTCGAATCAGCGCAGATCGCTCATGGCTCGATGTACACATATGTGAAGTTGGCAGATGAAGGGACGCAATCATTGAAATCTTTTCATGACACCTGCGAATGCGAAAAGGGCCTATTATGCTGAAGCACCAACTTCCAACCACACTCATGCAAAGTGCTCCGCCTGGAAGAAACGTTGAAGCAGACTTTGTGCGATTCCTCTGTCGTCCTGCTGCAAAGCTGTGCTGACAGGGGTTTCAAGAGTCATCTGCAGTCTCGTGCAAAGGCGGTCGTCTGCACATATGGAAGCGGTTCCGCGTCTCCAAGCATCTCGGAATGCCAGGAGCGTCACAGACGAAGCTGAAAAGTTCGGCTGGAACCAAACACATTGGAGTTCAACACTGCCCCCACATGTCTGAAAAACGCAGTTGACACGCAAGTTTTCTGACTGGTCACGATCTTCCTGCACTTATTTTCCGACAGGCAGCCTGCAGGCCAGTTCGAAGCTCAAGCACGTGCAAAAAGGTATGCATGCATACTAGATCCGTGACTCCAGCAAGGCAAGACGCGCAAACCGCCGATTTCACATGTTTTGTACAGTCCGAAGTTGTTGCATAACGAGCGGTTCGGGCCATGGCGTGCAGGTGCTTGGCAATATATGCTATATAGTTGGTATGTATGCTATACGTCTGTGTATATATCTATCTATCTACTTATCCATGTATCTATCTCAGTAAGTGTGATCAGGCTTTTCAAGGAGGATAGAACAGGTGTCACAATTTTGGGAGAGTCACTTCTTTTAATATTGTTTTTTGCATGTTTTAAGAAGGGCTTTGCAACGATGCAATGAGCGAAGGGCTCCACTTGAGCGCGGTCCCATGCTCAAAGGGTTTAGATTATCGGACATGCGCCGGCAATCCACCTGGTCAAGCAGGTCCGGGAAAACGAAGCCGCTATCTCCCAAACGCATCTGGGATGATCTGTTCGCCATGTAGATCCAAATCTAAATCCCCTAGACCCGAAACCCTAAACCCTGTAAGTCCTATAAGCCCCATAAACCCTCAAACCCAGGAAACTCTAAACCTGAAACCCTTTCTGTCGGGAAGACTCGCAGCTCCTCGTCGACGTACACGTTCTTCGTCAGCGTGCGCCTGTCGAGGCATATTGAGCTCTGTTTCAATCACCAAAGGCCACTTCCGGGTATGGGGTTTAGGGGTTTAGGGGCTTCGGGCTCACTTGCAGATTGGCGACTCATCTGAAAGGAGGTAGAACATGGTAGAACCCTTACGGTGCGAAATCCTATAAGCACCGTTATCACTTATCCAGGCAACCTTTTTGAATCCACATAGAACACCCTGCACTCTTGAAACCAGGCCTACAGCCTAGACCCAACCCAGTATCTGGCGGCCTGGTCTTTGAATGGACTGCACCCGAGACGTAAGCCATTTCGAGGTCGCCCGTATCGAGCAAGTCCTGTGAGTTGACGAGGGGTCCAAGTAATCCTCTTTTATGGCTTTTGGTACCCAAATCCCTGAATAAGAAATACTTGGACCCTCAAAAAATGCGGGGTTTTCCAAGCTTTTAGACTTTAGTGTGTTGCTTTCTAGTTGGATGCTTCGGATTTTTGTCTTTTGATTGAACTTACAGAGGTTTTAGGGTATCTGGGTGCTGGGTTTGCTTTAACGGCCTTGTAAGGCTTTGTAAAATGCTAGCCTACAATGGCAAAGAGGAACACTCGCAGACCCAGAACATCCCAAGGCATTTGCACCATGTCATCCATCCTCAGCCTGTCGAGATTGGGATCTAGGGAATCTAGGGTTTGGTTCTTGAGGATTTCCGAACACTTGGTGTTTCGATCTTTTTCCAAGCTGAAGCCTCCTCGAAATTTAGGAAAAGGGCAAGCGGTTTGCCGCTCCTTTTGCAAACTGCCCCCCTCCAACAAGCCCAGCCCAAACCCTCAACCGCCTAAACCCTAAATCCCTAAACCCTAAACCCTAAACCTAAGCTGCTGCACCCACGCTACCTCCCCCTGCCTCCCACCCCCCTCCATCCATCCCCCGGCCCGCTGCATCTCTCGACTCCGAGCTCCCTCTCGCCAGACCATACCATGCAGGGTTAGAGACAGGGTTATAGATAGGGTTATAGATAGGGTTATCGATAGGGTTGTAGATAGGGTGAAAGATAGGGTTGTAGATAGGGTTATAAGGTTATAGGGCTATAGACAGGGTTATAAGGTTATAGGGCTTGGGCTATAGGGTTATGGATAGGGTTATAAGGTTATAGGGCTTGAGTTATAGGGTTGTAGATGGGGTTATAAGGTTATAGGGCTTGGGTTATAGGGTTATAGATAAGGCTATAGGGTTAAAGGGTTTAGAGTTATAGGGTTATAGATAGGGTTATCGGGTTCTGGATAAGGTTATAGGGTTTAGGGTTATAGGGTTATAGATAGGGCTATAGGGTTGTAGGGTTATAGGGTTATAGATAGGGTTGTAAGGTTATAGGGCTTGAGTTGTAGGGTTATAGATAGGGATATAAGGTTATAGGGCTTGGGTTATAGGGTTATAGATAGGGTTATAACGTTATAGGGCTTGGGTTATAGGGTTGTAGATGGGGTTATAAGGT